GACGCTTGTGCCAGGCCATGTGCACCTTGAGGCCACGTGAAGTGTCGAACGCCCGCTGGCAGGAGTGTCATGGGGCAGACCCAGCAGGTGCCACACAGGTCGACTGACTGAGACGACTGGCTGATGCACCACCTGTGCCCCCTACTGTGCCAACTTGCTGTGGTTTATCCACCCGGCGCTCCGCTCGTTGTTGTGAGCGTCGCTCCTCCGCCCTCCGTTGTTATTGGAGGGCAACTGCCTCCAACTGTCCAGAGACAAACAGACAATGTACGTAGCCGTCAAAACACGCGCGGGCAGACAATGAGACGTATCATTAAATGTTGGACAGACACGTGGATTGGGATGGCACCGGCCTCCGCCATTCACTCCAATTTATCCCGCCATGTCCCTCCCCCCAACTCCCCTCCTGTCACTTTACTCCTCTGAGCGGCGGATCTTCATTCTAGTGGAATCTCGCTGTGGGTTTGGAGCCCCCTTCAACCCCCACCACCACCACCACCCCCGTAATGAGATTAGTGGCGAGCGCGTGGATTCCTCTCGCCCGATGATTCGCCTCCCACCCCGCCTGCCCGCCCGGCGCAAAATTCGTCTCAAACTCCTTGACAGCTCCGTGGCCGAGGCGGCCACCACCGCCCCCCACCCACCCACCCCGTAATTACCACGCCCTCCGGATTACGGGACCGAAAAAAAAGTGACACTGGCCCCAGCCGCACCCCCCCCCCAAGCTAAGATTATAATTATTCAACAGAAATAGGCGGACGAACTTTACGCCGCCTACCACACGCATCTTGTCCCTCTGCTGATACTCTCACTATACTAGGGGCACCGCGACGGCGAGATGGTAACTGCCTCGTCCTGGTGTGCAGGAGGTCGTGGGGTCAATCTAGATCCACGACCCTGGCGCCTGCTGTGTATATGTTGGAGTTTGCGTATCCCTCCTCCCGTGGTCGCGTGGATTTTTCTCTGGATCCTCCGGGGTTTCGCCCCCCTCCCCTCCCCATTTCGAAGCGTTTAGAGTATTTGGCTGCTATAAATGTCCACGGGATAAGCCACTTCGCTGGGCTATCATTTGTGGCCGGGTCGCTTCTGAAAGAGAGCTATAGAGCTCAGTGGGGCCTTGCCTGGTAACGTTGGGAGCACACACGCACAAGACAAAGACCCCCCGTATAGCCTTACCAGACCGTAGGGGCAAGTGCTGTTAGCGAGCACCTATAAAGGACGGCACGGCACACGAGGGGGTGGGTGGCCCACACCACGCCCGACCGCCTTTGTCTCCCACAATGGCGATGTTTACACATCGCACCAGGTACTCATTTGAGGCTGAGTCGACCTAGGTGAGGCCCAGGATCGGTTCAGATAATCGTCACTGGTGTTGGCCGTGAACGGGAATCTAACCCGGGTCGACAGGTTCATAGCGCAGTGCGTTAACTGCTACACTACCGCTCCCCACACACACACAGACACACACAGACACACACACACGTTGCGCACACATAGACACACTGACACACACACACTGACACACACACGTTGCCCACACATAGGCACAATGACACACACACACTCACACAGCAGAAACATCGCCGCCTGCTGCTAGAAACTGGTAGGACCCTCCTGCCGAAAACACATTCCTGCGGAGGGAGCTGGTAGGAACGTTGGGTTGCTCGGTCAATGGCCAGGGTCAACGGCGGCGTGGTGTATTCCGCAAATATGGCCGACTGTGAGGGCGGGCACAAGCCGGCGTGAGTAGGTTAAACGTTGAGTTTTATAAGGGCACCACGGGGTGACCAGCCCCTCCCCACCCAGCCCCACCCTCCCCACCCAACCCCTCCCCACCCTCCCCTCCCCACCCAGCTCCTCCCCACCCTCCCCACCCAGCCCCTCCCCTCCCCACCCACCCCCCCAGCCCCTCCCTGCACGACGGACGGACGGACACAATAATCCCCTGTGGGCTGGTGTAACCAGGAGGTTCCTACCAGTAAAATAGTCTTTACACGTCCCATCAGCCTCCTTGGGAGGGCACTCCTTATCATCAGCATTGCTTCCACACGAGCAAAACTCTGGACCGGTTTCTACATTCGATGTCTCATCAGTAGAGTCACGCTCGCTCGCTTGAACCAACGCTGGCAAACTGCCACACGTTCAACGAACGCAAATGTCGAGACCGGTCCAGAGTGTAGCTTGTGTTGCACCAATGCTGCTGAAACAATGCACTGCCATAAGGCCGTGTGGTCGCTGATGGGACGTGTAAAATATATATGTGTATTGTTTGTATGCGGAGGGACGGGTGTGTGACGGAGGTAGATTCATAGCTCCATAATTAGAGGTTTTTTGGGTTAGATCGCGTAACTGTATAAATGTTTCGTTAAACTCCGCCACCACCCGACACAGCCAATTAGTGAAGGTTTGTCACGTAAACAGAACGTGCCAATTCGTCACTAGTACAGCACCACCGGTGTGTTGGAGAGCCAAGCCACAACATTTACCATCTGAGTACGATGTTTTGCCAGTAATTACAACCGGCTTCATCAGGCGACAGCCAGATCTGGCTGTAAATGTTTTGGCTTGGCTCTCCAACACACCGGTTAGTGCTGTACTAGTGACGACTTGGCATGTTCTGTTTACGTGACAAACCTTTACTAGTTGGCTGTGTCGGGTGGTGGCAGGTTTAACGACACATTTATATATTTACGCGATCTAACCCAAAAAACTTATATTATGGATATTTGTTGCGAAAGCCTACGTGTTAAACAGATGCATAGCTTCTACACTATGGGGACCTCATTTGCCAGTAAAAATATGATAATTGGTTCTTTACCCTTATATCTGGCAACAAAACTGACACCTTTTTACAAGGAGTCATGTTTGCATAGACCGCAATACCTGCAGTCATAATACAAACAAAAGAGATAACTCTGATAATGTGCACTGTCCTTGAAGTTGATTGGTCCACACCCGAGACAGCTTTCCTTCGAGCCTAGTCTCATATGGGTTGGACCAGATGACGCCAAAAGGCGCACTTTTGGCGTCATCTGGTCCAACCCATATGAGACTAGGCTCGAAGGAAAGCTGTCTCGGGTGTGGACCAATCAACTTCAAGGACAGTGCACATTACCAGAGTTATGTTCTTTTGTTTGTATTATGACTGCAGGTATTGCGGTCTATGCAAACATGACTCCTTGCAAAAAGGTGTCAGTTTTGTTGCCAGATAGAAGGGTAAAGAACCAATTATCAGATGCATAGCTGTCAACCCATGCGGTTTACCCCGTATTCTTGTAGAGTGAAATTGAGATTTCAGGTCCATACGGCGGTACAGCCGTTCCAATACGGGTAAAAAAAATGTTGGTCTATTTATCTGTGTTTCTCCCTTGAGATGGACTTTGCAGGATGAACGTTGGGATTTATAAGGGCACGGGGTGACCAATAAGGTCTGAGTTGGTCTGTGATAAGGTAGGGCACTGAAAAGGGGTTGACAGGTACATTTGAAAACGAATTTCCTGCCTAAAATATAAAAACATTCACTAACACATGGGATGGACTTTTTATAAAAATTTTGCAATAATGTCTAATAGTGTATTGTATTACATTGCTCTGTTTTTATTTTTTTTTACATTTCTTGATTCATTGTATGTAATGGCAGAGATTGGGGATTCATAAAGTACAACCATAACCACAATCATATAAACAGAAATCTATGCATTGATTTGTATATGAAGGCAAGTCCAGATATTGTGGCCAAGGTTTAGCAAATTTTTATTTTTATTTACATAGCATGGCAATTATATTTGTAGCAATATATTGGGGGGGACATTTTGAGCATATTTTAATATTTTTTTAATTATAATTACGGCCTTGTATTCGATATCCCCCTGGAGGCCACGCGCTGGGAGCCCACGTGTTCAGGTTGCCTTCACATTGTGCTCCGGGGTCCAGCTCAGGTCTGCTCGACTCTGGCGCCCTCTCGTGGAGACGTCAGGCCACGTGTCCCTTCGAATTACAGGGCGGGCGGGAACTCCTCCACATCATTCATCACTGGCACAGCGTGTGGCCTTCATAAAGCGGGAAAAAAACGCGGAAACAGAAGTAGGCGACGTTTCGGGCAATGAGCCTGCCGCTGCTGATGAGACGCCGCATTTGGAGATCGGTCCAGAGTTCCGCGTGTCTTGACGCAATGACGCTGATGGAATGAGTTCAAGTTCATTTATTAGGTATAGCCCTGTGAGCCATTCGGCTCTTGAATCGGGTGCAACCGCAACAAACAAAAACATGAACAAAAAAACATCTTAAATTGCAAAAAATATCTTAAATTGCAACAGAAAATCCAAGAAAAGACAGCAAAATATTGCAGAAAAAACACCGTACACCAACGCTGGCGGCAATGGAGCCATGCAGCTCACGAAGCTACATCGGAATGATGTCCAGACCTCCCAATCGCGCCTTATTGATAAATGACGTCACAGCTTCGCGAGCACGTGGCAGAGCGACGTTGTTTTGTTGTTGTCGGGTGACGTCATCTAAGAATCCTGATCGGTGACGTCATCGAAACTGCGCAGGCTTGGTTCATGACGTCATCGTACAGGAGCGACTCTTGGATCCCCCTGCGAACCTTATCGTGCCGTCACCCCGCGGGGACGAGCCGATGACGTCATTTTTACCGTTCGCGGAACGGTGACACGTGACGACATCACAAAGTAGGCTCCCTATTTTGATGACGTCACCACAGCGCAATAGCTTTGTCTTGCTTGCGCGGTGACGTCACGCGTCGCTTTGCGCGGTGACGTCACGCGTCGCTTGCGCGGTGACGTCACGCGTCGCTTGCGCGGTGACGTCACGCGTCGCTTGCGCGGTGCCGTCACGCGTCGCTCGCGCGGTGACGTCACGCGTCGCTTGCGCGGTGACGTCACGCGTCGCTTGCGCGGTCACGTCACCCGTCGCTCGCGCGGTGACGTCACGCGTGGCTCGCGCGATGACGTCCCGAATCATTTGCGCGATGACGTCACGCGTCGCTCGCGCCCCCCCCCTCCCGCAACAAACAAAGCGGGCGCGTGACGTCACGGGTGACGTGGCGCGAGGTGAGGGGGAAGCAGCCGGACGCCATTTTGAGCCTCGCCGGGAGCCGCCAGGTACCGAGTTCGTCCCCGCGCGGCTCCGCGTTCCCCCCCTCGCCCCGCCGCTCTCGTGCTCCCCTCGCCTCCCTTCGCCCGGGCACCCGCGGAGTCAGCGCGGCTTGCACCGCGCCCGCCGCCCGCCGACGTCGCCAGCGCCGAGGCGGCGACGGCTGAAGGAGACGAAGCGGCCGCCGCCCCGCGCCGCGCGCTTTCCCCGCCGCTCTCCGCCATTTCCACCCCTCCCCTCCCCTCGCCCCCCCACCACCATCATCACCACCGCGGAGGCTGCGGCCTTGTTCGCTAGGCCGGAGAGCGGAAGCCTTCGGGCTCGCCTGGAAGCTCCGCCTGGGGAGGCGACCCACACGCGGCGGGCTCAGCTATCCGAGAGACGGTACCGCGGTCGTCGTCGCCGTCTTGGGAGGATATTTTGTATTTGTTTAATTTCGTGTCGTTGGGCGTGTTGGGAATGCCCTTTGAGATTCCGTTCTTTCATAATGTCATTGGGTTTATGATGGTAATCGTTCGGCTGCGCCCGAGTATAGCTTTATCGTGTGACGTCCCCGAAGTGTCTTGTGACATACACATCACTTGTGTTAGTGCAGTCTCTACAGGGAGGATAACGCCGTAGAATGTCAGTGAGCATACGAACGTTAAAGACGTCGTCTGGACTGCGACCGGGGAGTGAGGTGGGGTCTGCGTGCAGGACACGTCGCCAGGAAGGACGATCGGCCTGTGAGCGAGACAAATTTGCGGTTTGGCAGCTAAAGGAAGGAACGCTGTCTCGAGAACGTCCACACGGGCGATGGAGAAGATGAGAGTGTTTAGCTCTTGTGCGAGATGATGCTGGCCCGTGGGTCGTTAACATCGCAGGAGATTTGCGGCTGCTGTTGGGGGCCTTTAGTCAGCGAGTGGATTTGACCCACGACTGTTTTCAGAGTGGAAGGTCGACGTTTCGGTCTTGGGAAACAATGTTCGGGGTACAGTTTGAGTTCGGTTTAAGGCAGAGAGGGATAGGGAAGTCCTACGGTCACCGCGCTTGTAAAGCACGTTTAGTGTTATTCCAAGTGCCGAAGTAAGGGTAAAAGTTCTAATCGCAAGGCCGGGGGTCCTTAAACGCCGCCAGAGAGGTTACATTCAATGTTAATGTCACCGCTTCATGTTCGTAGCTAGGCTATTTAAATGCATCAGGGTGTGTCGTGGCTTGTAATGCTATAACTGATGTGTTGAAAGTGAATGTGCTTAGGGTGTATACTTCACGTGACAATCACATTCAAATTTGTATTATTTGAAAATAACAGTCGGACTAATCGATTAACATTGTTCACAAGTGAACTTTTCGTCATCGGTCATGGTAAGTCCACTGTTGGATGACGGCTTCCGCAAACCGTGCGTCTCGCAATGCAAGGATCCGCCTAGCGCTCGAACACGATATTTCCTTGGAGCGATGTGTTCTTATTGCATCGCTTTACATGACGGAACTGAGGACGAATCCCCACCATACGTGGCCGAGTTTGAAAACACATCCTCGTATGTGTGTGTTTCTTATACGGCAGTTTCTGTTCCATTGAAGAACAAACGAAGGGAATATCCTTCAATGTCCCAGCACCTCAAGCGATTATATTCGTGTTAATTGACACTTGTTTTTCAGCTTAAAAAATAAATACATCTCTGCTTCAAAAATAGCGACAATAAATAGGTTCATGCTTTTGCCAATCCGTTGCCAATTCAAGTCTCCACACGAGATGTATTTTGTGTGACTTTGCCCACAACTTAACCACGTCGGTTTGTTGTTCGATGATGAAGTGATGGGGCAGGGACGGGTTAAAGATATCCATCACCACCGATGATGCCAGCTTTGGCCAGTATTCTAACTCGAGTTGTCAGGTGCAGTTACGCTTTGTATTTGGCCATCGTTTATTTATCTCATATTGCTTTAAAGTGAATGACAAAACGAGATGAACTTTAAAAAAAAAATGTTGTGGTTATTAAACCACCCATCGAAATAAATCTGCTTACTCTTTGGTTCTTTCGGTGAAGTCGCATAGAAAGAAAATAAATTAAATAATAAAATACGACGTTTCGATTGCAACACAAGCAATCGTCATCAGGTAGAACTAAAAAAACTAATTTAGTTCCACCTGATGACGGTTGCTTGTGTTGCAATCGAAACGTCGTATTCTATTATTTATTTTATTTTTAAGTCACTTTACCGAAAGAACCAAAGAGTAATCCCTGCAGTCACGAAAGCTTCAAATAAATCTGCTTGTACAGTGTTTTCTTTTTTTTAAGTGTCTTGGCAAGCATCCAAAAATAAGCAGCACTCCACAACTCGTCCAATCGGAGAGACATTTTGACTGGTGCTAAAGTGGAGATTGGGATAGGGCCCTGTAGATTGTGTCGCTGGACTGTGCTCGTTACCAAATCAGCACTGCGGTTTGTGTGTGTGTCGAGAGTTGGCAGAGTGCCGTAAATCTGCCAATCAGTCTGCGCTGTTGATTCATAAAACCTGCGTCTTCTCTTCGATGACACCTGCTGTGCCAGTAAACTTTTGCCACACCACCCATAGCGGCTGCAGTGCCCCGTGCTGACATCACTGTCTTTGGGTGGTGTATGCCATCTGGAGGTGAATCTGTGTGTGTGTGTTCACGAACATCACTTTCCATAGCAGCCTGCTATAGGCTCTTTGAGATATATTGGTCATTGAGTGTAGGTTTGTATGTGAGCAGCATAGAACTTAGCATATTGCTGCATGAAACTGGGCTACTCGAGTTTGATTCCTGGCCACGGTTAACATCATTATCAAGTGCTATCCGAACAACTCCTGAGCCTCGTTTAGATCGAATCAGCTCTTTAGTTAATACTTGGTGCAGTGTGTAAATGAAACATCAGCACTGAGTAATACACACGCAGCTGGGTGTGGTGCTTCGCCACATCACCCTCTAGCACTCGCGGCAATTGCCCCAGCATCCTGTATGGCTATAGAGGCGGGGGGTGGGGGTCGGGGCGATCTTTGGCTGCCGGAGGGCCCGGCTAAAGAGTCTATGTGTTGGTGCCGCGTGGCACCAAAGTGTCCGCCCCTTGACTGTGCCACACGCTTTCCCGGCTGAGTAAACAAGGCGCAGAGTAATCGCGCCCCCCCCCCATTAAAGTGACACTCGACAAACGCACTCGCTGTGTCTAGAGACGCTCGCCACTGGAAGCCTGACGATGAGACACAATGCCCCAGGTTTGCGTTGTGCGAGTTTGGGTTACCACCATGCAGCTGGGATATCCGATTAGTTGAGTCCAGCGTGACGTGGCTGATTTTGCCTGCGACGTCACCATGCACCCCGCCACCCGTGACCTCCCATCCAGCGGCGCACGTGGGGACAGGCGACACTTTTTAAATCCTTTATATTAAGTTCACTTGCTTGCTTACGACCGTGCAAATCTTTCGGTCGTTTTTTAACCCACTTCCCGTGATCCAATCGAGCTGACATTTTGCACAGACTCGTTGTGCGTGACAATTAATTTTCGTGAATTTTTTTCCCCAAAATTTTGCACTGTTTAGGGAATTTTTTAAAAATATTTAATTACCAATTGCTTAATGGTGGCAGACAATAATCTAACCCATAGGTGGCAGCCATCTCAAGCCAGAGGACTCTAGCCGCCACGCATATAAAGGATTTATAGTGAAAAACTTTGTTTTTACGGGTTAATTTTTTCCCCCCTCCAGTTCATGAGTTGAGTATCGCTAATCGGCAAAGTCATCGATTACCGAGTAGGTGTTGCGGTTGTGCTGCCCTGGAGCTTAACGTCGGGACATTTTAGCATTTTGCTTGTCCTTTGCCCGCAGCACCTCAGATTAGCACGGTTGGCTCCACCGTACGATGCAGGAGAAGTTCAACATACACATTGTGCCGAACAGCAAGTGGCACAACCTGAGTACACATCAGAGAGCAACTGATCTAGATCTAAGTGCAGATCCATGGCTGGATGAGGGAGTGGGGGTTGGGGCATTTGTTTAACTATACTTGACAATGCTTGTTGTTAGCGAAGATGGGGAGGGGGGGCAGGACTGGTTCGGTTGTCACTCACCGCTGACGTTAGCCTTTGTCTCTTGTCGAGTCGTATGTTCGGCTTGGGCCAGAGCACATTGGCCACTGAGATACAATGGAAGAAATCCGTTATCGGCTCTTGCGTTTGATTGTCGAAGCTCCAGAGGCATGTGCAAAGTATGCTGGCAGTGTGAATGTCTGTTGACAGGAGGAGAGGTTCTGTTTGTACAAGGGTTCTTGTGTTGTTCTCCAAGCGCACCCTGGCAGTGCCAGCGTGTGCCCTGCGCCAGGGTCTCGTCAGTTTATAGGTGTGTGCCGATGGGGTCACGTGACGCCACACGATGTGACATCGCGATGTCGTCATCTGTACGTGTGACCACTCATCTCCCGCATGTCTACAACTCTCTTATCGCTTTTATATCTGACTCTACTCAAGTCACAAGTCAGTTGTTATAAATACACTGCTGTATGAAGGCGTTCGAGAGCTCTCACCATCTCAGTCATGCGACGTAACATGTATGTTGAATTTATTTCGCACACTACGTAGCCAACCGTGTGCTAATCCTAATTGCTTGTCTATCTATCGCCTTTATCTCTGACATCTCGACAATTGGTATCTTGTATGCGTCTTGTTTTGTCTCTTTCAACTCGACGATCGGTATTTATCATCCAACTCTTATTCGGTCACCCTTTCTTTCCCGTCACCCGTCCTATCGTCAGCGTACAGCTCTCTCATCTCTGTCTGCGCTCCGCTTCTCCTCTGTCTTCACCGACCCCGCACTGGCCAGCGCGGTGAAGCTCGCTGAAATGACCCCTGCCGCACGCACGGCGCGAGGGCGAGAAGGCCGCTCCTCCAGCAGTGGATTGAAAGAAACCGACCTCGTTAGAGGTCGACACGCGCGTCGTGGCAGTTTTGACGGTGACGTAGTTGAGCGCGCGCGTTAAAAGGGCGCTCCTGTGACGGCGGTTAATTTTTTGTTGCTGTCATGGCCGAGTGGGGTTTTTTTTTTGGGGCGAGGTTCAGGATTGCAAAATAGTTTGCGGCGTGGGTGTCCCGTTTCCCCTCGCACTTTTGCTGCCACTGGCAGCCTCTCGAGTGAGTGCATGAGTCGTGAGACTATGGGAATCGGACGCGCACTGTGTCACTACAGCGTGGCCGATTTTTAGCAAGAAACACGTACGTGCGTGCACCGTGTGTAATAGCCACGTCGTTTTTTAAGCATAGGCCCAGATCAAGCGGCCAGAAACAAACAGCTTTCAACTGCATACGAGTGTAACAGCTTTATTGAATTGAGCGAGGTTATTGTAAAAGTTTGGAGAATAGAGACTATGATGGGAGGGGAATTCCGAAGCGGAGCAGTGCGAGGGGAAAAAGCAGAGAGAATATTGTTGCGACCTGCAGTGTGGTCGGTGGGTGGGTGAGTGGATGGATGAGTGTTGTTGGGACCTTTAGTGTGGTGGTTGAACGCTGTGGATGTGACAATGCGAGTTTATTCTTCCAAAAAACACATTCTTCAATAGGGTTTTTTTGTTTCGTGCTTGTGCACCACCGCTAATGCAGCAGCAGCATCACCGAATAATCATTTTAAAGAAAGCTAATTTCAACAACTGCAGTCAATATTCTTTGGGTCTTTCGGTAAAGCCATATAGATAGAAAAAAAATATTACGACGTTTCGATATCAACACAAAAATATAGCGGGAGAACTACTGAGGCAGGAAAGAAAATGTTCTGCCTCAGTAGCCTCTCCCGCTATATTTGTTCACCTGATGACGATTGCTTGTGTTGTGATTGAAACGTCGTGATATTTTTTATATTTTTTCTATCTACGTGGCTTTACCGAAAGACCCAAAGAATATGTATTCCTGTAGTCACGAAAGCTTTAAGTCAACTGCAGTCAATCTTCGCTTATTGAGAGGTTACCCATTCTCCTTTGCTGCCACCACCTCCCAGCAATCTGTGCTGTTCACTCCCTGCCCATATTCAAAGCTATGCTCAGGACCATTCCTTGTTTTCCTCTGCCTGTGACTGCTGAATGTCTTAAGCATGATGAAATACATACGCCCGGTTATTCTGTACAGCGCCACGGGGCGCGGTCGCATTTCCTGTTTGGCAATCCACTGCTTGATAAGAACCTCCCTGCGCTATGAGGGTCGTGAACGTTTTGGACTATATTTCACCACCCGGGTCAGTGCAGGTTGTTGAAAAGGGCATTCCGGGGGGGACCGCTTCGGATATCACTTGACACTGATATTAGCCACGGCCGGGAATCGGAACTCGTGTCGCCGGGTTTAAAGCTGTCCTGTCGTGGCTATGCCTGTTATCTAGCACCGTGGAGACGCGTCTTGGTGGATTGCACCAAGTCTTTTGAAACATTTGAGATCCTCTGAAAGGTGCTTTATAACGATAATTCTCATTTTGACTTAACTCCCTTCGCGTGGGCGTCGTTCGAAGAGGTGCTAAACACCCTGGCTCGCCCAGGAAGTAGGTGGTATGGCAAAATGTGGACTTGTGTCACTGGTCCCCATCTGTATGGGATAGTGTGTTATAAAGATAATTATCATTTGGACTATAAAAACTTCCTTCGCGCGACTGTCAAGGAGGTGCTTACACCCCAGCTCGCCAGGAGTAGGTGGTATGCCAAATGTTGACTTGTGTCACCGGTCCCCATCTGTATGGGATAGATGTTGGAAAGCGTTCTGCATGGAAACTTGATTAGAATCTCTTTTAACCGTTGGTTTTGTTCTGCCCAACTTCCACAGGGCAGGTGCCACCACGAAACCGCAGCCATGGGGAACATGTTTGCGAACCTCTTCAAGGGCCTCTTCGGAAAGAAGGAAATGCGAATCCTGATGGTGGGACTCGACGCCGCTGGCAAGACCACCATCCTCTACAAGCTCAAGCTGGGAGAGATCGTCACCACCATCCCCACAATAGGCACGACCCCCTCCCCTTCCCCTCAACTGACACCTTCTTTGTGTAGATTATGTTAGAGGCAAGTGGACCCCATCCTATCAACTGTGGGCATAATGGGATTGTCCCACCCTCTCCACCATCGCCAACATTGTGTGGATAGAACGGACCTACCAACACCCCCCACCCCATCTGCCTTATGTGCATAATGGAAGTCTACCTCAGTCTACCTTGCCTGTACAGACGGTGGAATAATCTGTCACCCTCCACAAACCCAGTATATAATTGTGGTATGGTCTGTCCCCCCTCCACCTCATCTGTACACGTGGTGGAATGGTTTGCTACCCTCGACCATGCTCCGTGGTGGTCAGCAGAGGGCAGTGCAACACCATTGTTGTGCCGTAAATCTATGCTCCATGCTTTTATCAACCCGCTCTCACCAATGTGGCGAAGGTTGGTCAAATAAGCCTTACGACCCATACGGTGTGGGCAGGCCCACATCCAGCAGTGGATTGACAAAAGACTTGTCAGTCATGTATTGTTAGGTTTTTTGGTAAAGTCACGTAGGTAAAAAATTAATAAAATAAAAATCACGACGTTTCGGAGGCAACACAAGCTTCCGGCTTCAGGTGGAACCGCCACAGCACGATAGCTGTATCAAGTAAGAGAAATTCCAAGAAAACAGTCCTTCTTGGTTTTTTCGGTAAAGTCACGTAGAAGGGAAGTAATAAAATAATAAAAATAAAACATAATAAAATAATTCTCACGACGTTTCGGCCACAACGCAAGCAGCTTGCGTTGTAGCCGAAACGTCGTGAGAATTATTTTATTAAGTTTTATTTTTATTATTTTATTACTTCCCTTCTACGTGACTTTACCGAAAAAACCAAGAAGATGAATCCCTGCAGTCACGAAAGCTTTAAATCGAAAACAGTCCTTGTATATATACTGGTTGAGGGTGGGAGGAGCCAAGGTAGGCCCTGGATATTATTATTGTGAGGTTCGGTGCGGCTGAACCACGCTGTTAGGAATGAGCCTTTGTTGTGTAGACTGGTTGAACTCGGAGGTTCCAAGAGTTGTTAAGGTGTGGCTGATGTAAAGGTGCGTGTAAATGGGACCGAGCCTTTTGTTATGTAGAGGTGGTGCGGCTGAAACCGCTGCCAGGAATGAGTCTTTGTTGTGTAGACTGGTTGAACTGGGAGGTTCTAAGAGTTGTTAAGGTGCGGCTGATGTAAAGGTGCGGCTGCTGTGAATGGGACTGAGCCTTTGTTATGTAGATGAAACAGCACTTTGCTACGTTGCTGGGATTAATTATAGATTTGCCAAATATGTGTGGTAACTTAAAAGTAGGAAAACCAGTGTGTGAAAAAAGAAGAAGAAACTATACGGTAACTGAAGAATAGTGCCTGTCAAATAAGATGGTCCAAATATGTGTAGTTAAATCTTTTTTGCATCGTTAATAACATCTTTCCAATGATTACTAAGTTTGTACCCATCATCACGGTTGAAATGATGTCTGTGTTTGTATATTTGGATGGCTTCGTGTACAGGAGGTTTGCAGAGCACCTTGGTCTCAGAAAAGACAATTTCATGAGAGCCCACAGCGTTGTAGCAATGATCGGCAACGGCGGAAGCATCAGTTTTGCCGTGTTTCAGATCTGACTTGTGCTCGCGGACACGATCAGAGATATGACGTTTTGTTTCTCCAATGTAGCAATCACCACAACTGCAACTCAGTTTGTAGACTCCAGGGTATAGTAAGTCAGGAATGACATCTTTCACAGATGGAATTAGATCACGGATTTTATGTACTGTACTGAATCGGACTTGGATGTTATGTTTGTTTAGAATTTTGGAGATCTTTTTGGACACACCTGCTATGTATGGCAACGTGATAGTTTTGATCGGAGTTACATGTGGCTGTTTCTGTATGGTGGGAGAAACAGCTTGGTGGATAGTGAGGTCAGAGTATCCCTTCATCTTGAGGGCCTGATGTACATGTCTTAATTCACTGGCCCGGTGGTGTTGGTCAGAAATGCCATGAGCTCTATGGTATAGCGTTTTGATGAGAGAATTCTTTTGAGATGGGTGGTGGTGGGAATCAGGTTTCAAATAGGAATCTGTGTGGGTGGCTTTCCTGTAGACAGAATGTCCCAAGGATCCGTCAGGTCTCCTCTCAAACAGAATATCTAAGAATGGTAGTTTACCATCTTTCTCCACTTCCATGGTGAATCTGATGGATGGGTGTCTGGAATTGATGTGATCCAAGAAGTGGTTCAATGCTGGGAGGCCATGTGGCCAAATGACGAAAGTGTCATCCACATACCTCTTCCACAGGGAAGGACGCAGGGTGGATGTCTAGATGGCGTCTGATTCAAACTTTTCCATGAACATGTTGGCTATCACTGGTGACAAGGGGGAGCCCTTAGGGGTACCCTCATTCTGTTTGTAGAAGGTGCCATTCCAGGTAAAATAAGTGTTGGTGAGGCAATGCCTAACCAGCGCAGGTACATCCGAATTCAATCCATGTTGGACCAAGTCCTCAATTATTGTTAGGGTGTCAGGTACTAGGACTTTGGTAAACAGAGATATTACATAAAAACTGACAATATCATCAGGAGATAGTACCGTGTCCTTGACCATAGAGACTAATTGGGTTGAGTTGAGTACTGCCGAAGAGGTCTTGCCTGTGAAGGGGAGCAGAGTATCTGACGGGCTAGTTTGTAGGTAGGAGAGTTGATCATCGACACGATGGGTCGTAGCGGGGTGCCTTCTTTATGGATCTTGGGAAGACCATAGAGTCTAGGAGGTCTTGCCGCCGATGGTTTTAGAGAGGGACGTTTGGTTGGTTTGATAAGGGAAGTCGAACTCGTGATGATTTTGTTAGTTTTTGTCGTTAGGCTGTTAGTAGGATCGTTTTTAATTTTGGAGTAACTCCCATCATTAAGTAGGTCCAGGATTTTGTTGTATGAATCTTTATCCATGATGACCGTGGCATTGCCCTTGTCCGCATGGATGTGTCCTATGCCTCTGAGGGCTACATCAATCTGAGAAATCACATCCTCTACTGGTATATATTTAGGGGTGACAGCGAAATTTAGTCCTTTGGCCAGTACCGTTTTCAGATTGTCAGAAATTGGAATGTTACTCTGATTAATAACGGTCTTGTTGACGTCTATCTCTGATCTGATATCTCTGATCGTGTCCGCGAGGACAAGTCAGATCTGAAACACGGCAAATCTGATTCCTCCGCTGTTGCCGATCATTGCTATAACGCTGTGGGCTCTCATGAAATTGTCTTTTCCCGAGACCAAGGTGCTCTGCAAACCTCCTGGCTACCATCAAAGGTTTGTACACGAAGCCATCCAAATATACAAACACAGACATAATTTCAACCGTGATGATGGGTACAAACTTAGTAATCATTGGAAAGATGTTATTAACCATGCAAAAAAGATTTAACTACACATTTGGACCATCTTATTTTACATGCACTATTCTTCAGTTACCGTATAGTTTCTTATTCTTTTTTCACACACTGGTTTTCCTACTTTAAGTTTTACCACACATATTTGGCAAATCTATAATTAATCCCAGCAACGTAGCAAAGTGCTGTTTCATCTACATAACAAAGGCTCAGTCCCATTCACAGCAGCCGCACCTTTACATCAGCCGCACCTTAACTCTTAGAACCCCCCAGTTCAACCAGTCTACACAACAAAGACTCATTCCTGGCAGCGGTTTCAGCCGCACCACCTCTACATAACAAAAGGCTCAGTCCCATTTACACGCACCTTTACATCAGCTGCACCTTAACTCTTGGAACCTCCGAGTTCAACCAGTCTACACAACAAATGCTCATTCCTAACAGCGTGCTTCAGCCGCACCGAACCTCACAATAATAATATCCAGGGCCTACCTTGGCTCCTCCCACCCTCAACCAGTATATATACAAGGACTGTTTTCTTGGAATTTCTCTTACTTGATACAGCTATCGTGCTGTGACAGTTCCACCTGAAGACGGAAGCTTGTGTTGCCTCCGAAACGTCGTGATTTTTATTTTATTTTCATTTTACTTTTATTAATTTAAATTTTTTACCTACGAGGCCTGGGCAGGCCCTCAATCCACCGCTGGATTGACGGACAAAATAACTTTACACGTGACATATTTGCTTCTGCCTTCATAGCTACGGAGCCTGTATGGTCATGAGGTCCATTGCTGGCTGGCATCCGTCTCACCACTTCCGCGCGTGTCTGTGTTCCTGTCCGTCCAGGTTTCAACGTAGAAACAGTGGAGTACAAGAACATCAGCTTCACGGTGTGGGACGTGGGCGGCCAGGACAAGATCAGGCCTCTGTGGCGTCACTATTTCCAAAACACACAGGGTACGCCGGTTTTTTTTCTCTGCTTTGCGAAACTTTATTGCGTCCGCTTCGAA